GCCAGCCCACTGGATTGTGTTATGTAGGATGTTAGTTGTCTTTGTGACTCTTGCATGTTTGTATGATTGGGTTGAAATAAACCCTAGGGATGGGCCCATTATTTCATGATCGAGTTGAAATAAACCCAGGGTTGGGCTCATGATTGTATATTGGGTTGAAAGAAACCTAGGGTTGGGCCTATTATTGTATGTTGGGTTGGAATATACCTCAGGGTTGGGCCCAACTGTATGTATGGTATGTGGTACTTTGGAGAACTCACTAAGCTTTGTGCCTACAGTTTATCTTTATGGTTTCAGGTACTTCCGGTAAGAAAGGGAAGAGCTTGGCGTGATGACACAACATCCCCCTCATGATTCCTCACTTATGATTATTTTTACTCTGATGATTTTGATATTTTGTATCATGGTTAAATTTGAGCCATCTGATGTATGGAATTAATAATTTTTAAAATGAACATTTTTATCACTGTTTTTGGGATGTTACACATAAAAATACCCATTTTACCCTTTTGGCCAAAATGCATATTCTCATGCATTCTTTCTCTTAAACTTGCTCATCTAATCTCATATTAGTGACTTAAACTCTTATTTGGTCATTTTCATGAAGTTACCACTTCATATTCTCATATATTTTTTTTTCATAATTGACCAAATTGCCTCTTTGGTCAATATTTGACTAAAAGTCAACTTACTCTAAATTTCAGGTTCTTAGAGAAAGAGTATCAGACGAAAGTTATCAATTTCAATTGCATCTACAACCAAAAGTTGAATAGTGGTGCGGGCAAGAAGATCGAAACTTGATATTTTAAAGTCAACACAAAGTTAGTATCTCAAACTCTTTATAATGGAATTTTTTCCACACGAGGCAATATGTGATATTTTAACATTACACATGAAATGGTTAATCTTCGAAGTAATATGTGAGAATCCCTCTCCTTTATCAAAAAGACCAAAACATCCTACTTAACACGTACACAACCTCTTCGGATGCACTATTTTCATATGAATTCAACAAAGAAAATGAAGAGTTTCCCGATGAAGCTTTGCAATTGCTACAAAGAGAAAGGAAGAACGCGACATCCACGTCCTCATAGCCTCCTGAAATAACAAAGACCGTCACCGAAATTGTTGGCCTCATCCATACAAATAAGAAGAGACAGAGGACAAAAAATGACACCGAGCTAATAAATCGCGTATAATGGAAACGACGAGCAAAAAGAAAATGGCTTTATGGAGGAGTTATGATTGATCAAGGAAAAGCGAATGGAAAAATATTTGTAGTTCTTCTTCAGCCACTCACCGGAGGAATGTTGAATGTGATGCTCGCTGGCAAGTGGAAAATATGAACGATTTATGGTTGGAAGTTGTAGAATTTCATTTTAGGATTTTAATTATTGTATTTAGGAATATAATTGTTTTTATGGTTTTATATAACGTTTGTATGTAGTTACTTTTTCTTAACGAAATGTTATTTTTGTTTTTATTTTTATTTATTTAATTTTAAATTAGTAAATGTTTGATTTTTTTTTTCTAAATAATTAATTGTATGGGTTGGAAGGGATGAGAGAAATGAATTTATGTGTCGTGGCCTTGTGGGTAGGAGAAATGAAATTGAAGAGAGAAAACAAACTGATATAAAACATATCATGTGAGTTAGAAATTATGTAGAACATTTTCCACCCCTTTGTAAATATAGTTGCTTTATATTTTATGTAAAAAATAAAGTCAGTGTTCTCAAGCCTAACTCTACTTTTATTTTTTTTTTATTTTCATGTCCATATAAAATAATGACAAGTGTTTTAAAATCAAAATATGATATGGATAAAAGGATAAATATAAAGGAAAAGTAGACGGATATTTAATTTCTCATAAAGTTTATTTAATTTGTTTCAATTTTGAGTTTATTTATTAGAATTTATTTGGCATTTGTTTAATTATGTTATTATATTTTAATTGTGATGATTATTTCAAATATATTTAAATTTTAAACACTTTTTATTTGCCTGTTTTTGTCCATTTTTGTAATCTATCTTATTTGATGATTTTTATATTTTAAATTTTAAGCATCAAAGTATAATTTCATATCATGTAAATTTAATTGGCCGCCCAAATCGTTGTACCATTAATTTCACCAAATCTTTGTTTATTTTTCTAAACAATAAAAGGTGCACGTGTCCTGTTAAAAACGAGTAAACGCACGATCAATAACACAAAATGATTAAATGAGGGTCTATGATTGAAATCAAATTTAAATCCTAAAATCAATATTTTAGGACGTTATCATTAACCCTCTCTCCTAAAAAAATCAAACTAGTTGAAAATTATATTGTTACCCTCATAGTTCTCTACCTACACAAACAAAATATTAGTCTATTACTACGGGTAAATCCGTGGTTAATGAGTTTTATGGACGAATTTTCCATATACCCAAACCAAATATGTTGGTGAAACGGTTATGGTTATCTTTTGGAAAAATGACTAAGGAGGATAACCAACTGTTGATTTTGTTCACATTTCATCACTTTTTTTTGTACACAATATATTATCTAATTTGTTGTTTGTGTTCACCATAACCATTTTGATCGGCTATCACATGTGATAGCCGGTCAAAATGATTATGATTAACACAAACAACAAGTTACATAATATATTGTGTATAAAAAAATGACTAAATGTGAACAAAAATCAACAGTTGGTTACCCTCCTGAATCATTTTTCCAAAAAAATACAAGCAATAGTTTAAAAGTATTCAAGATGTGTATTAAAATGCATGCACAAAAATAATGCAAAGTAGCCATGCAGAGTCAGATGCGCAGGGGACTTGAGGCAAACCAAATCCATCCAACCTATAAAACATTAGATAAAATGATAAAAATGCCCTTTTAATTAATTTGTGTACTTAAAAAAATAAAGTTTTGGAATACTAACCTTAACAATGTGGGATGATATTGCATGCCTAGTGGGAGCTGGAGGCAAGTTCAGCTCTTCATTAAAATCTGGTTCATTGTCAGGTTGAAGATATAAAGATACACTTTCGCCAACTTTTGACAGTGATGAGAATTAGACTTACCACCCATGAGATCTTCTACATCAATGTCATCAGACACATTGTAGCTTTTATCAAGAGACTCTTGTATTTCATTGCTAACATCCACCAACTCCATTATGTCAACATGACACTAACAACAAAAGTAATTTAATACTATCACAAGAGATACAATATTTCACATAGATAATAGTTTATATTTATTTATTAATGGTAAAATTAAAATCAAACAAAAAGACAAGTGTATAAATAATGATTAATTTAGACTTTTGTGAAACATACTGTTTGTTGAGCATCTTTGATACCCTCAGAAGCAAATGTGACTTGATCTAGATTAAAGGTTTGATTGTATAGTGTGTCACGCTGTCCTTTATATCTAACAAGAATAAACAAAAGGGAAAATGACTCAGGAAGGTAACCAACTGTCGATTTTGTTCATATTTGATCACTTTCCTTTTTTTTTGTACGCAATATACCATCTAACTTGTTGTTTGTGTTCACCATAGCCCTTTTGACCGACTATCACCTATGATAGTCGGTCAAAAGGGCTATGGTGAACACAAACAACAAGTTAGATGATATATTGTGTACAAAAAAGGAAAGGGACAAAATATGAACAAAATCAACAGTTGGTTACCCTCTTAAGACATTTTCCTTTATCTTTTTGCATAGATTTATCGATGTTTTTTTTTTTTTTTTTTTTTTTTTTTTTTTTTAAGTTTAGTGACAAAAAAGTCAATCATAACTCATACTCCCACGTTAAATCTTGAGTAGCCAAGTACCGAACGGATAACTGTTGAAAACATCTAAGCAGTAAGTTCACCCCTAATACGTTTTAGCTATGGAGTTTCCCATGAATATTTAGTGATATATTTGTTGTGAATTTCCTACATATTTGTTTAGCGACAAATTATCCATGGAAAACGTCGCTAAATTAACAAATTTAAAAAATATAAAAGACTATTGTTAAAAAAACATAAAAGAAAAAATGCACAAAAGAACAAATCGTAAATTGTTGTTAAGTTCTGTGTTCAACACAGAGCTCTTAAAACAAATTTGTCTTCTATTTGGTGTTTGTTTCCAAAAATATAATAGTGGTAGTGACTCTTCAAGATCACATGGACCTTCAATAGCCTAAAAAATACCTTGGTTGCATCAAGAGGAGGATCGTTAAAATTGAAGAGATGTGTCTTAGTCGGCAAGAAAAGTATTGTAACATAGCAGGACACACACAAGTGCAATGAACTCAAGCCAATTAGGTTCGCTTTTGCAACATAAATACATGTGCGTAAGAGGTGTTTGTGTTGTAAGACTTTCAAGGATAAAAAGTCTTTTTTTTTTTATTCATACCCATGTAGAATGAAATAAAACTCACTTCACCTATTTGTTAGAGTTTTTCTGCTATCTCACTTCCACATGCAATTTGTCAATCATCTTTAATCCGCTTATAACGTATGATATATCGAGAACAAAAATATCACGACTTATGAGAACATAGACACGTTTAAAAAAAACATTTCTTGTAAATCGTATTATTTAAAACATTATTTTAATAATAAAAATAATCTTGCATGCAAACTTAATTGGCCGCGCAAACCGTTGCGTTACTATCACCAAATTATTTCTTCTCTATTTTTTTATACATTAATTCACATATATAAACCCAAGATCATTAATGTAAAGACCCACTTAATTAATGTATATCTTAAGTAGGATAGATATATATATCGATCATTAATGTAAAGACCCACTACTATCTTTTTACATATTACCATAAGTTTAAAAAATGAGTGAGATGAGGTCAAAGATATATTCAAAACTTAAATGATTTTATATGATGTGTGCATGGGAATAAGGGGGGAAGGGGGCCCTTAACATAGTATATATATGAGCACACATTATCATGCCACTTTCATTCCTCACTAACACATTTACATACCTCACTTGGCTAGAAATGGCTAAAATCATTCAATCGGTTTTTGTCATTATTCTTGTTTTCACCCTCGTGATCCCGATAGTGATAGCAATTCGAGACTTCTCCGACAAGAACCTTAAAACACCCGAAGAGGAGGATGTAAAACACCCCGAGACTTTCTTCAATTATGATCGTGGATACCTAATTCCGGGTATTGGACGAGGTATTAAACCAAAGTCAAAGGATGGGTTCAACCCTTTCACCTACAATCCAATTACGGGAGGTAATAATGGAATACCGGGAGTCACTGTCCCTAGTGGTGGTGGCAACATCCCTGGTTATGGTGACTTCGGTAGCAGTGGCAGTGCAGGAGGTAGCTACTTGCCAGGTGGCGATGACACATTGGTTCCCAGCCCCGAGGATGAGGGCCCAAATCCTGCCCCAGATAGTCCTTGAGATCCCGTTTCATATGCAGTAGTATATGACATGATAGTTTGTGCTGTGTTTGACATGTATTAGGCTGGAGGTGGAACTGATGATCTCGTCACATGTAGTGGCGAATGGGGCATCATGGATGAAGATTCTTGTTTTTTATTTTGTTAGTGTTTCTGATTTATGTTATGTACTTAATAATTAAGGTTGTAAAACGAAATGTTTTGGTCAATAAATAGCAAATAAGACCAAAACTTATGTATTAATGTCTTCTTAGCATTCGCATGATATAAACTGGACCCATGAAACAAAATTGTTAAAGGATCGAATTCGCCTAAAGTTTTAAGGTTGTAAACAATGTAGGAAATCTCAATTTGATTTCATTTATTTGTGTATTATAGCATCGTACCTACGTTCATTCCTTTGTATTCAACATCTGTGTTTTAAAATTTTTTTTATTAAGGCACTGGAGTTTGAAATAAAAGCAGACAACTAACTACATTCATAGTATAAATTAAGCTGTCGTTTTCAGATCAAAACGCATTAATTTCTTAAAACCAGCTACAATTTATGGGTGTATTATGTGTTTCTTTATCAATGATGCTATCCACTTGTTACTGGTAGCTTCATGCCTTCTGTTATTTCTATTTAATTTTCATCATGCACTTGCATTCTATTTTGATACCTTTATTTGGTGGGTTAAATACAAGAAATAGCACCGAACTTTCATTTAATTGTGTATTATAAAATTTTGCTTTCATTTATTTCTATTTCAACATTTTTGGTCTAATGGTTTTTTTAAGACATTGTACTTTGAAACTCTATCCAATTGTAGTATGGAGCTTTAAATTTCAACCTTTCAAAACAGGGTAAAACATGAAAATTGGTTTTTTAAAGGATCAAAAAAGTATAATGTTTAATCACTAAAAAAAAAAAAAAAAAAAAAAAAAAAAAAAAAAAGTGAAGTACGTTGTGAAAAGTTGTGTTTTTCAGTATTTCGTCCATTGTTCTTTGGGTGAACACTGTATGAAGTTAACAAGAACACCACTTATATACAAGCAATTTGTGTCATTAAACCAGTTATCTCCTAAGGAGTTAACTCGACATAAACATGTGAAAAACCCTAGGACCTATAAATGCTGTGATCATCACACTGATAAATAAAATGGCAAGTTAAGCTACTAACCTCTGCTAGTAAGATTCAATTCACATCGCTTAAAAGACAAAATCATCAGAGAATTACACCTTCACATTCAAGTAGAGGGATCCAAACTTCCAAGTTCATAAGAATTCTATGGATTTCAGGAAACAAGTGATACATGTATTCTTTGGGAACACATAACATCAATCAATAACTTCCGACCGAAATCAATAATCGAATCAAACAGTGAACAGGTTGAAGAGAATGTAGCCAAGGAAACAGAAGAAAATGATGAGGAACACGTAATCTACGAAGACGAAAAATCGAGTTTGCAGATCATTCTTCCTAATTCTCTTGGAATGTGGATTCTTCGGTTCAGCAATTGGTTGGTGATTTACCATTGAAGCGTCTGACGTTGCGATGTATCAAGTTTCTAAATCACGGTTTAGGGTTTGTTTGATCGGCGACTCTGCCCCGATGATCGTCTTTAATCCGTTGTGTCACACATTCACGCCACGCGTTTGATATATTTTCTCTAACTCCTCTAAGTTATTAACTTATAAGTTATAATAATCTTTTTCTTATTATAAATTTATACTTTCTTTTTCCTTTAGCATTGTATTTTCAGATTATTTTTTGTTATATTTTAATTCTTTGACCAATTGTAACAATAAGAACTGAATTATGATAAAATGACTCTAGTTTACTAATTTATGCAAACAATGCTCTATTTTTTTTTTACCAATTTTGCAACCATGTTTTATTTTTACCAATTGATGCTACTCGTATAAAATGCAACCATATTTCAGTAGACCTGTAAAATATTGCATTTTTTTTATCGAAAAATAGAACCTCATTGCATATTTCGTATACAAAATAAACAAAGTTGTTGCACTATGTGCATTTAACCCGTTCATACTTTTGTATATTCATATATATTTTTTAAATAAAATTTTGTCAACCACATACTTATACTATAGAATAAAGTACAAAAATTATCCCTGTATATGAAAAATTATGTGTCTCGTCCTAAAAGAATTTAATTACAGAGATCGTACACACCATTTTTGGTCGATAAATCGTCTAACTTAATGGTATAATCATTAAATCCTATATTTATCATATTTACTCATACAATATAAACATTCTAAATATAATCATTCTATGATTCTATCTTTTACAACAAGGATTACATGTAAAGCTTAGCCACGCATCCTTTAAACAATTATTTCCATAAAACAACATAAAATGATTATTGTTTCTTTGATCATCCACCCCCCATCCGCCTGCTGAGTTTTGCAAATTCTTCATAACTATTCCTGTCATTTATAAATATCTTTTATCTTCGCATATTTCATATAATAAAAATCACTTTGTTACATAAACCGGAAAGAAAAAGAAAATGGCGTAACATTATCCTATAAAAAAAAATCAGTTTATTGGATAAACACACAATTAATGAATTAACCCATTGTAATATATATACCTCCGACTCTGAGACGTTTGTTGATGATGAAGTCGTGTCTATGTCTCCTTGTGTATCTGAAATCCGTGCTTCCGATTTCTCATTGGAGTATCTAAAAAAAGTCAAAATACATGCATTATCTAGTTGTACAGTACAACGATATGATGCATATTTCAAAATTGTTGAAGATAGAAATTGATTTACTTACGTGGAGAGTATTGTAACCCACACAAGCTCAACACAATCCACCCAAAGAAGTCTTTGCTCAATAGGAACCACACCATATGTTATTAGATGTGCAAATGGCCATAGCTTCCATCCCGCCTATATCAAATCAAGAAACTAAACTTTTACCAATAAATAATATAATAGAATGCAAGTAAATATCTGTAAGTATGTTTTGTATTATATGCTTACTTTTAACATGGGGAAGAATGTTGCTTTGAGTTCATTGGATATATTGGTGGGGGACTCAAATCGCAATAACCCCAAAACCACAAAATAGATGCTGTTCCAAATTGCTGACCATACTGTTTGGTCAAACGCAATTTTTGCTGGAACTACCCACCAGTCTTTCCAAGGGATAAGAGCCTACAAACAACGTAACAAAATTTTAATCGAGTAGTGTGGCTATAAATAATTGGGTAATTTTTCTGATGTAATAGGAAAAATGGAATTTGGATGCTATAATAAACAAATGAATGAAAATATGTTGTTATTATTAATTTGAATAAAATGTATCATTACCTCGCATATTTGGTAATAGAAATGGGAAAGAGACCCATGGAGAGTGAATCCCACAAGCCCTGATCGAAACAACCGAGTCCTGTCGAACTCAAATAGAGGCTTCCCTTCGTAACACTGCAAATCCATTTAAAAGAAAAAGATAAAATTAGTTTACTCTTTTTACAAATATATGAAATGTACTTTACCTTTTTGTTACCATAATTACTGATAATAGCAATATGTAAGGGTAAAGTATATTGTTTTTCTCTGCAATTTATTCTTAAAAAACATTTATAAATGTTGAAACTGGAAAAAAGAACATATTGAAAAGCTAAATTCAGCAAGAAATTTGGGAGTAAAGAAGTTACTTGTGCAATCCAATCGCCTATAGAGTAAACAACACCACTTATCATCATCTTAGCCAAAACAGGATTTTCTTTAAGAGCTTCTTCATAAGCAATCCAATTGTGCTCTGGAGCATATCTTAGTATCTCATAAAGGGTCCATCCCTATATCACATGAGTAAAACAAGATAACTCATACATTACAACTGAGAAAATCTTAAATTACATAGCTACCCCTAGCTTTAAGTAGTTTATTATATGATCGTGATACATATTCTTTAGGTTTCAATAATAAGTACTCATCATTACACCATCAAAATGGATTTCAACAGACTAATTCTGCCATATTGAATGCCACATGGGACGCCATGTCAATGCCAGGTAGATATAATTCTACCATATTGGATGCCACTGTGGACACCAAGAAGGATTCAATGGCAGTTTTTCGGTTGAAATTACACCCAGATGATGTAATGAGAACACACAAAATTGTCCGTTGGTATATTGATTACAAATTAAAGATAAGTTACCTAAAAAGAAAATTAGGTATGATTGATTTTCGTGACATTAACCAAACAAATTATCTCCAAATTTATAAACAGAAGTGAGAAATTACACGAAATTGCACGCATCCAACACAACTAATTAGAAGTAAGTGAAGCTCATAATAGAACTGAAATCAAAACTCACATGCCAATACTCATGATCAATGGTGAGCAGCCTAGTGACAGCAAGAGTACCAAAACCAAGAACAATAGAAGCATTAACTGCTTTACCCATAAATCTATCAATTTCTTCCGACCCATCTCGAACAACAAATTCTTTGTCTCCCCCTTCTAATCCATTTACACTTTGTTCATCTTGTTTGAGATCGGAGACGCTAATCTTTTCCGTAACCACTTCCCTGTCCTCTGCGATGGATTTAATCAGTACATGACTGTTTCTTGATTGAGGGAAAATTTTAGATGAAGAGAAGGATAAGGGGGTTGAAGATGAGATGGGTCTTTTCGGTGGAGAGAGTTTGCAGGTTGAGAAGACGTAATTGCTGCTGGAAGCCATGGCTGAGGGTTGTTTGATCATATGAAGTTTTGGTTTTTGCCCTTGATCAGGAAATTAGCTATTTTTATATTTTATGCTGAATTACAAAAGTAGTCCTTTAAGTTTTTGGGGTTTGGGCATTGCAACGTGGGATTAGAATTATCTTCACATTTTCCTCTCCTCGTCGACACACAAATCACAAGTAAAACCAAAGTTTGACTTTAAACAAAGAATATAAGTTTGACTTTGCAATCTTCTTTTCCTACGAAGTTTATGCCAAAAAAAAATCTCTCAATCCGTTGTGATGAAT